GGGGATGGAGGGTAGATGTATGTGGGGCTTGGAGGGAAAAATGCAAATAACCATGAACGTGGAAAAATAACAGTGTGAGAATTCAACTGTGCAGAAATTTCTCACAAATCCAACTTTAAGCACCCAAAATTGTGCCATCAGCACTCCACCCAAGCCGAGCAATGTCTGACTTCATTAAGGCTTGTGAGCGAAGGTGCAGCTGCACATGAGTGTGTTTGATTAACTCTGCAATGATTTCTGACTTAATCAGTCAGAAGAACAAATTCAGTGAGCAGGAAGCCTTTTATCAGCCAGACTCACTCACCTGCACATCTTCCTGCCTTTTAGCCAGCAGCGAATTAGCAAACCAACGGCTGTCAAAAATGAAGAATTGAGCTACATTTACAAAGATGAAGGCTAAACTGGTACACTAGATAAATTTGTATTTGCTAGGCTTTGACTAGATTTACTACTTGAAATAAATACTTCTTGGTCACGTGTGGCAGATTAGTATATTAGTTGTTTTGAAAGCATCGTGAGGAGTCATGTTTTTCTTAGATAAATTTGGTCATTGGACTATGAAAACATACTTGTAACTCTTAGAAGACAAAACATCCTCCTTAGTAAGAAATACACAGACTAAATTTGGAAAATAGCATACTAGCAGACTTATATTTCTGCATATATAAAGACATTGCATAAATAGTTTCCAAATTCCGAATTCACCACTTCTCTGTGCCTAAAATCACATACTGTCAGAGTATGTAATGCATTTGATGAAGAATTTACTGGACCATTAATAGAGTACATTCTGTAAGCATCAGAAGTGTGTAATATGAGTACAGTCTGGTCATACTAATCTGCCATGTCACCTGTGACATTAGCTTTGTTATTATTTCCTGCCATTTACAAATATGGTAATGCCTCATCCTGAGATAGTAAAGTGTCCATCATATGGCAGTAGTTCATTCAGATAAATTGTCCTAGTTTTTACCACACTGAAAAAAATTACTTTAATATGATTGCATAGCACCGAGTTGTCATCTTGGATAGTTATTTTGTATTTTAAATCCTATTTTGTGTAAAAAAAAAAAAAGAAAGAAAGAAGAAAAATATGAATTAAGTTACATTGTATGTAGACCTCAGCCAGGCGAAAATTGATAATATTAATAATAAAAATAAATATATGATAAAATGATAGATATTGCTGTGTGAAGCACAGTGTTGATTTTGTATCAATACATACACATTTTATTTAGCAATAAACAGATTAAGACTTTCAAAGCTTTAGTGTTTTCAAAGTGGTGATGTAAGAACACAAAAATCTGTTTCCAATCCAAACAAGGAAACTCCCACCTCTGTTGTCTCATACTGCAAATCTCATTCATTCAGAAATGTCTCACATTGGCGACGAATCTCACCACTGTGTCTGAAAGCTATGCCTTCCTCCTTCTTCAAAGTAAGAACAAATTTACTTGGGAGAAGAGGAATGTCTGAACCAGCAAAGAACAGAGAGGGGTTAAACAGTGTCAATACCATAACCTCATTTATCTCCCGCCCTTAGGTCAGCAGGGCCGACTCCGGCCGATGTTAGCCATTAGCCCAGCCATTTGGCCATATGTTAGAGCAAATGAGTGCTCGGATAAGTCATGGATCCGATAATACACCCATGGGCAGTTAGATTTTACTTTTAAATAAGACTGACTGATACTGTATGGTTCATTCTGAAGGAAAAAGATCCCAGTGTGCAGTGTTTTATAATGCAACCCACACGTTCACTTCAAAATATTCTCTTCTTAATCAGTATGCTTGCATAAATATATTCACCATGTCTTAAGAACTAGTTTGACTAATCATAGAGCAGGTAACCACGCGGTAATCAGTATTACTTTTTGGATTCAAATTAGACCAATTTATGTTTTTATGTAACTCACTTTAAGAAGTTATAACCAGACTTGCAGAGAAAAAAAAAGTCATTAGCTTTTAAGCCCAGTCTAAGCAGTTTATGCAACCAGCCATTCTCTAGCTGGTACATACTCTGCAAAATGATGCCATTTGTTCGTTTTGAAATCTTTTATTGTACTGTTCTGCTAATTTTTTTGTCCCCCAGAATAGATTTTGCCCTTTTTTCACTTAAAATAAAAAATGGTATTAGCATAAACCTCAATAGATTTATGGATGTTTATGTATTTTTACTGGAAATCAAGAAAAAACAAAAGTAAAAATGTTTTTTTTGCAGTGTTCAAAAAGGACCATTTTCTTTAGCTTCTGAGTACAAACTCACACTCATATTCACAGTATCAGTGCACTGGCAAATAAGCCATCTGCTCGGGCCTGGGCTGCAGAGTTAAATCAACGTTAGTCCAGCACTGACAAACAACACCGAGCTATTGCCTCATCATTCTGAGGCCAAGGATTCATCTTTCTTCTTTGTATCTTCCATCTCTTTTCTTTTTAATTTCCTTCCTGCATCTTTCTATTGTATTCTCTTCTTCCTGCAGTTCTCACCTGTGGTCTGTCGTTCTCGCTGTCTCACATAGAGGAGTGTGCGGCTGGGTGCTGAGCCGCTTAGGTTCTGCTGTGGTTACAGAGGTGCTGACGGTGACACTTGCTGGCCCAGACCGTGCCCTACTTACAGAGAGTGAGAGAGAGAGAAGGGAAAGAAGGAGGATGGGTAGGCTAAAGTGTCAGCAGTGCGAGGTGCCTCAGTGCTTAGATAAACTCCTGTGGGATTAATGGCCTAGTTAAAGTTGGAGCTAAAGAGGATTAGCCTCCTCGGAGAGGTGGCAATAGATTCAGCATGTCCTTCAGCGGGGGAGGCAGAGGAGGACGTGGAGGAGAAGGATGAAGGGGAAGAGAGGGGGAGTTCGTAGGTTGCTACTGAGCATGCAAAAAACAATCACATCTTGCAGGTTGACACAAGGTCGCCTGTCACCAAAGTGGTGGAAAATGACGGCAAAGATGAGGGAGGTGTAGCAGCTGTTCTTGCAAATCGTGACTGCAGCAGTGATTTGATTTGCAGTGGACGGTGCATTGGACCATCTTTAGCAAGTGTCATGGAGTCATGGCTGTTCATGTATGCCTCAGTTGGAGTGAATATTTGTGCATGGCGGTTGTATATTCTGTTATTTGTATTGTGACTTTACTGGTCTGATCTGAAGGTGTGTCATTGTCATGCGTTTACAGCAACAATGCAAAAAAAAGTTGTACTTTTTTGTTGGTTGTACTAAAAAGTAAAAAAATGTAAGTAAAAAATGTTGACAGCATAGTAGCATTATAGTACTTTGGGGTATCATGTGAATACATATTTACAACTTTACTACTTTATTCAATCATGACCAATTAATAGTCATAATACAAATCAAAATAAAATATGAAACTACAGTATTGATTGTGTGTACACGGGTGCAATTTGTAAGTTTCAGTTGATGTGTGTTAGAACAGCAGTAGTAAACATATGGCACTCTGTGGCCATCTAGCGGTCAAGAGAAAAACACACAAAAAAAACGCCTAGGACAGGTCAGCTAGTCTTGAGTATTTTTTTTTTTACACTTTTGCAGACTTTCACCAAAGAACGGAACATTCATTTAATACAACAGTATTCATTTAACAGATTTTCTTTTTCTAAAAATGCGTTTTCCATAATAGTCTTTCTTCAGAAGAATATCTCAGTAATGAAGTTGAGTGACTAAAATGCATTCATGATCTAATGTTCTGAATTAGTGCTAGAATTTTTAATTAGCTGAAATGAGATACATGCATACTTATTTAAAAAAACAGCCATATATTTCAGAAGTTTTATTAAAAATGTTTTAGAGCTATTATGACACGATGTAAAATAACCGCTGGCAAGTTAAATAGGACTTCTGAAGATTCCTTAGTCAAGTAATGAATTTCAATTCTTTCCTTTAAGGTAAACAGATTAGTGATTAAGAAGCAAGAGATGAGTTAAAAATACAGTAAGTAGGACACAAATTAAAATACTACAAATAAGACGAAGCTGCTCTTTCAGATAGTTAAGAGTGGGTGATTCAAAATCTCTTTATTGTTGATGAAACAAATCTCTCTGATTGTTGGAATAGTCATCCAATCCAGTACATAAAATAATGATATCTCAGTAATGAAGTTGAGTGACTAAAATGCATTCATGATCTAATGTTCTGAATTAGTGCTAGAATTTTTAATTAGCTGAAATGAGATACATGTATACTTATTAAAAAAAACAGCCATATATTTCAGAAGTTTTATTAAAAATGTTTTAGAGCTATTATGACACGATGTAAAATAACTGCTGGCAAGTTAAATAGGACTTCTGAAGATTCCTTAGTCAAGTAATGAATTTCAATTCTTTCCTTTAAGGTAAACAGATTAGTGATTAAGAAGCAAGAGATGAGTTAAAAATACAGTAAGTAGGACACAAATTAAAATACTACAAATAAGACGAAGCTGCTCTTTCAGATAGTTAAGAGTGGGTGATTCAAAATCTCTTTATTGTTGATGAAACAAATCTCTCTGATTGTTGGAATAGTCATCCAATCCAGTACATAAAATAATGTTTATCAACAGCACCATCAATCATCTAACATGCGGGAGGGATAATATTTGCTACCAAGAATATATTACCATCTATTTCTGTACATTCTTCTGATGCTTAAACAATACGTAGTGTCTCATATAAGACAAAGGATATTTGCAATGACCAGAGTGTGGAAATCAGGCTTGAAATCAGCCCTGTTCCAGCCCTCTATAAATCACACTTCATGGACTTCAAAAATAATAAAAAAAAATTGAAATGGTCAGTAAAAAAAAAAAAAAAGATTTGTCAATCATGTACTACTACAGTATACGGACAATGCTTTTTGTACTCTAAAATATATATTAAAAATACATATATTAAAATATATTTAAAAAATACATCAAATAGTTCCCCTAAAATATGCGTCTTTTGGCATTGGTTTATCAGTGAAATAAGAAACCTCTAAACTGAACCGGTGGCTTTAAATCATTACCACTATCACACCAATTAAGTTCAGTGTCACACTATTGCTAGCATACTGAGGTGAAAATAGCAAACTGCTGCTGTCTGGCATTGTACACACTCCTGGTGTGGGTGCCACATCTGTTTTCTACATGACCTTTATTACAAAACAAAGCCAAAGGCCAAATCAGAGCAGCATTTTTGTCCTTCCATTATGGGTTGGCAATATAACAAAATAATTTTTCATTAAAAAAAAAGACTGTACTTTATCACAAGGCACATTTAACACTGAGGTAATCTGACATGATTATTGATTAAAATGTAACCTTTTCCACATAATCCACAAAAAATGTCAGCAGAAATCAAAGCAGACAGACGCTGATACTCAAATCCAAGACATTGTTTTTTGATCAAAAAAAAATAAAAAATCTATTGCACACTCCATGAAAAACACTACAACATTACACATTAAATATGTCCCTGAGTGTCTCATGGGTCCAAATATACATGTAAAACACAATCATCATCATAAAAAATCAGGATACTTTTAAAAGTCATAATATATATATATAGAGAGAGAGAGAGAGAGCTGTTCTCCCAATAGTGATTAAAAACTGTAGAACTATTGTCAGCTTTTATAAAATACATAACTGTCAGCCCAGTAATAAAAGTTTCAAGGGCTTGACCCTCTTTTAAGTCCTTAGCGTTCAGCTTTAGCTTTCAGACTTATGTCTGTGTCTGCCTGTGAGAGGCTCCATCTCTACGGTATGGTCTCTGGAGCCCCTGTTCAGTTCAACCACTCTTGGGACGACCGTGGACCAGCGATCTGTTGGAGTAGAGGAGAGAAATTACAGCTGTTAGCTGATTTTTGAAACATACATTTTTGTGTATTACTGTGTATTTTCTGTGTTACTATACTGTAAAAAAAAAAAAAAAAAAAAAAGAAAGAAAGATTTTTCAAAGTTATAAATAAAACAAAAATTATTGGAGTACGTTTTACAAGAAAAAACTATTTCACTCTTTCTACTTCAAAGTTTCATGTTTTATCTAATGTATTACTTTACTAGCAATTTCTGAGTGAAAACTGGGCAAATTCTGTGCCCAGAAGTCATAAAATATATTTGTTTATGGGTTTATATATGCAGCATAGTGGCTGTGAAAAATCATGTCTGCTTGTTTACCAACCTCTTCGAAGGCCCCGTCCACCCTGTGTTTGTTCGTAATGGTCTTTCTGGCCTGGATCCTCATTTATGATCCCCAGATTTTGATTCCAGTGAGACCACTTCACCTCGTCCACCCTGTAGCATGAAGAATGAAGGCCCAGAACTCCTGTAAATTACATGTAGGCTTATGCTGTAATTTAATATATGAGTGGTGGATATCTTGTAGCTGTACCTGAAACACCAGCGTTTGTCTGGCGTTCCATCCAAGCCCTTGCCCACAGTAACCATCTCTCCAACACGGAAAGACTTCCGCAGACACACAGGGAAGGACCGCTCAATGTCCAGGATAGTTGTTGCCCACTGATGCAAACAAAAGGAAAATTACATGTTGGAGATGAAAGGCATTTATAACCACCGAATACTGAGGTAAAAGCCTTGGACAGAAGTTAACAAAAAACTTCCAGTCAGATGGGCACCAAAATAAACCACTGAAACAAAAACTTAAAGGAATAGTTCACCCAAAACTGCCATCATTCACTTTCTCTCTCTCATGTCATTCCAACCCAGTATTTCCTTTTCTTCCCAGAAAACACAAAAGGAGATTTGTATGGAGCTTTTATAATACTTTGGGAAAATAAAATCTTGGATATTCTGCCTTACATCTCGTGTTTCACAGAAGCATTAAAAAATATGGGGTTGAAATGACAATGACATGAAGGAGAGTAAATGATGATAAAATGACCTCAATTTTAATACTATCTATACAACAGACTGCCACATTTGACCTTTTGTGTACACCTCACCTGCAGTTTCCAGATCTGCTTGCTCTCTTTGGACACCTGTCCCACCGTCTCTCCCATCAAAGCGATTAACATGTTGAGTAACAGGACGAAGGTGAGAATAATGTAGGTGACCAGGAGAATGAGGAAGACGACGGGATCCTGTGCGCCTTTAAGCATGTCGTCCAGCTCTCCAATGCCTATGGTCAGCTTAAACAGGTCCAAGAGAAATTCGCTGAAGGTGTTTGTATCTCGGCATTCTGGGTATTTGGGGCAGCTATCATTACATGTCTTCTTATCAGGGCAGATGGTCAGCAGTGACACTAATGCTGGTGCAGAACACAAAACGAAAGTTTCCCTAATTATGACAAATGTTTCCATAAAATACCAATAAATGAACTATTATTACTAGAATACCTGATGCATAGCCGATCATGAAGAGCACATAGACCAGCAGGAACCGGAACAAATCTTTGATTAGAATCTGAAAATACCCAAATTGAAGACACACTGGGTAAACGTAATGGTCTCTTAATTACACTGATAATATGAGAAGAAAGCAGACTGGCAAAGACGATAGTTTTTATAAAGGTTTTATGTAGTTTCTAGCAGCAGTGTACACTATCAGGATGCAGTCATTACTGGAAAATAATGGGGGGATAATATGACATTAACTATATACAAACATATGGATATGTTTCATCAGTATATAATACCATCTCTACCTTTCACTATATTTACAGAAAAAGAAAACCACACAAGGTCCCATTTCCAGTGGACCTTACTAAACATTAAAATAGATTTATATATACATATACACATAATATACAGTGCATATATATATATATATGTGTGTGTGTGTGTGTCTGTGTTTATGCATGTATATATATCTGTTTTGAACTTTCTATTCATCAAAAAATCCTGAAAAAAACATATGAAAAATAATAAAATATTAAGCAGAACAACTGTTTCAATGTTGATAATAAAGAGAAACTGAGCACCTAATCATCATATTAGAATTATTTCTGAAGGATTATGTGACATTGAAGATTGGAGTAATGATTCTGAAAATTCAGTTTCGTCATCACAGAAATAAATTACATTTTAAAATATATTAAAATAGAAAACACTTTTGTAATAATAAATAATATTTCTGCAATTTTACAGGTAATTCTGATCAAATACATGCAGCCTTGGTGAGCATAAGAGACTTCTTTCAGAAACATTTAAATCTTACTGACCCCAAACTTTTGAACAGTAGTATATGTGATATTTAATTTTTCAATTCAACTACAAAAATATAAGTTTTTTGGGGGGGGTCAAACAAACTATGATTTGTTTTACTTCACAAGACTTGTCAGTAAAATCATAAAAATAGGCGAAGAGAAGAATAAGAAAACAAATATCACTATCAAAGTGATTTCACCATTTAGATTTGTTAAATTAAATTTACTGTACATGGTCCTTAACCTGCTCTTTTCATACCTTCTGAATCATGATGCTGTAAGTTCCAGTGAGTTTAAGGCCTCTGGTAAAATAGAGGGTGTTCATCCAACCTAGTACTAGAGCAAACACCATCACAGACACATAGGCCTCAATCCCTGATAGATACAGCGCTGCACTCACCAGCACCAACACGGAGTAGATGAAGCTATGGAAACACAAGGGATTGGTCAACAGGTAATGTACTTGTCATCAACATACTTCAACTATTAAGGTTACCATTTGCTTTGTGTTTACTGGTGGTTTATTATCAGCTCAAAATTGATAACTAAACATACTGTGGCCTCTGGCTATTTTCTGATTTAGTTACTGTGAAGGTTATAAAACGTCTTTCAGTTTCTATTTGACTCTGTTGCTGAGTTTCAATATGTAAGATTTGCTTTTCAAATGCAAAATGCCTCACTGGTTTACCAATGTCATTTATTAATTATAATTAACATAAACGTATCAGTGAACTGCAGTCATCTTTGCTTAGATCGCGCTGTTTTTATGCAAGGAGATTAACTATTAAAACATGCCAAGAAAGGGTTCTGGAATTAATTAAGACAGCTCAATTAAAAAGAGGGAGAAAATCGCCTTAGGGAAAGACATTTAAGAGTAAAGGAAGACACAAAGAATGGGACCGAGTGTCTTACTAGAGAAGTTGAAAGGATCCATCAATAAATAAAGAATTCACCCCCGGGCACTTCTTCAGGAAAAGGTCCTTAATCTAAATCAGGGGAGAAAACCAAGAAATGCTGCTAAAGGTTTTTAGTGATAGCTAAGGAGGAAAGATAGGGAAGGAAAAAGTGATTTTGCATACTAAAACACAAACCACTGTTGCTTTTAGCAAGCTGAGATGGAAGTGTGATCTTACAAATAAAAAAAAAAGTACTAAAAATGATTGGTTATTGTGTATGTAAAGCTTACATTTGTTACAAAGAAAAAGACTCCAGAAGCCACGGTTATGATCTCCCCTGCCAAACGCACCTTGTCTTCTGTGGTGTTGTAGGCGTAAGGGGGCTGTGGAGGTATAAGGTTCAGGAATCAACTACAGACCTGTTCATTCCCAGAAAGTATCTCTACCACATGAACTATCTATCACACAGGAGGGCCCATCTGCCAAAGGAGTTATTACTCTGTATTTTTATATAAAAACCATGAACACCCACATGTACACTATCGTTCAAAAGTTTGGGGTCGGTAAGACTTTTTTAAGTTTTTGAAAGAAGTTTCTTATTTTCAACAAGGTTGCATTTATTTGATACAAAATATAATAATACAGTAATATTGTGAAATATTATTAAAATTTAAAATAACTTTTCCATTTTCATATTTTATTTTTTATTTCTGTGATGGCAAATCAGATTTTCAGCAGCCCCTTACTCCAGTCTTCATTCAGTGTCATATGATCCTTAATAAATCATTTTAATTTGCTGATTTGCTGCTCAAGAAACATTGATAATAATAGGAAATGTTAAAAGCAACTGTGCTGCTTGTTCAAAAGAACATCATTTATTTGAAATAGAAATCTTGAAATATTATAGTTCACCCAAAAATTAAAATTAGCCCATGAATTACTCACCCTCAAGCCATTCTAGGTGTATATGACTTTTTTTTTTCAGTCGAATCCAGTCGGAGTTATATTAAAAATGGTCTTTGATCTTCCAAGCTGTTTAATGGCAGTCAGCGGGTGTTGCAGTTCAAAAGTCCAAAAGAAGTGAAATAAAGCGCATCCATCCATAATAAAAAGTGCCTCACACGGCTGCGGGGGGTGAACAAAGGCCTCCTGTAGCGAATTGATGCGTTTTTATAAGAAAAATAACATATTTAAAACGTAATAATTAATATAATCTAGCTTGCCCTCACTGTTGTACACGGAAGCAGCTCCGGGCAGATGACATATGAGGTCGGCTTTGCACATGAGTTGCTCTGAAGTGACGAACGCGGAAGCGCAGCAGAGAGATCAAAACAAAACAACGGTCACTAATTAGACGTACAAAACGAGGATTTGTAAAGAAAAATGTCGGAGGATTTCAATTAGCTTGCTCCTTACAGGAGGCCTTTTGTTCACCCCCCGGAGCCGTGTGAGGCCCTTTTTATTATGGATGGATGCACTTTATTTCACTTCTTTTGGACTGATGAACTGCAACACCCGCTGACTGCCATTAAACAGCTTGGAAGATCAAAGACAATTGTTTATATAACTCCGATTAGATTCATCTGAAAGAAGGGAGTCATATACGCCTAGAATGGCTTAAGGGTCAGTAAATAATGGGCTAATTTTCATTTTTGGGTGAACTATCCCTTTAAATGTTTTTACTGTTACTTATGATTGATTTAATGCATCCTTGCAAAAAACTATATATATTTTTTTAATATTTTTAAAAAAATTAAATTAAAATTAAAATTTCCTTTACCCCAAACTTTTGAACGGTAGTGTATGATATGATATGATATGATATGATATAACACTTTCTTGTCAGACCAGTCTGAAATTTTTCTTGCATGACAGTATCTGTGTTTACAACAATCAACATCCTTTAAACAACAACATGCACTTCATCCACACACAAACAAAACACAATATACATTACACTCCCTTAAATATTACATTATGCCTTACCCTCCTACTACACTTCTACAACTACACCATGTTCACATTATATTCTCATATAAGGAGAATATTGTCTACTCATAGAAAAATGAACACGAGAACGCTCAATATACCTGCTAGACAAATTATATAGTGTGCTTTAGCCTGACTTGAGCTAAAGGTTTAATTTAATTATAATACTATTAGTTTTGTAATTTGACATGTTACCAAAATGTAATCTTGACTAACAATTTAGGAGATTTCATTATCTCCCCATTGAAGCAGATGGAAGATTAGTCTGACTGGAAACTGAGTGAACTGACTGCAGACTGTACTCACTGTACCCACTGATGGACGATAATAGGCCACAAGAGTGAAGATGATCATGGTGACAAGGTAGGAAAACACACTGATGTAGAAGGTCACAGCGGCAAACTTCTGCCACTTGGCCCTCAGCAGCTCGTTTATGGGTTCCACCGCCAACATCTCATGGCGATTCTGAGGGCACAACCGATAGTTTTATCAGTAGCTTTAATGTCATAAAGCTGATCACTGAAACAGCCATCAACTTAATGAAAATTCTTGGTGATTATTATTTTTTGTGTATTTTTATACCATTTCCATACATGCTATTCTATACATTCACAACAACTTGCACAAGTTATGTCACATCATTCACCTCCTGCTGTTTATGTACTTTGCAAGGCCTCTAATCTCATGTGATAACATGACAAAATATGGAGCGCCATCCAGTACAGAGATTATCTTTCTCACTTTTTTCTATCCACATGTTCACCTCAATCTTGCTGTTGTAGACGAGTATCTCCAGAACAGAAACTTCCTCTCCGCAGGTATCCAGTGAAGACAGATCATACAGGTTGGAGTAGACGGGTCCATAAGCCCAGTCCTTAAACTTCCGGGAAAGATGTCGAGCCTCTTCATCTTTTATCTCTCTCCGGATAATGTGCTGGAACACCTGTGGAGAAAAAACATTTAATTTTAGTTTGCTTTGCCATTTCCTACCACATTTTCCCAATGCATGTTCCTAAAGCCGCTTTGCCAGTATAAGGCGATCTCCTACCCCAATTTTGCCCAGCTTGGCAGCCATCATGAGAGGGGACATGCCATCATTGTTGAGTACATTCTCCAAGTTGCAGTCTGGGTAGAGTTTGACACATTTGATGAGCAGCAAGTCGTACATCTTAGTGACGAAACGCGTGTTGTCCCGAGTGTTGTCAGCGATATGGACCAGGGCGTGCAGGACTGTGTTTCCCCTTAAATCCTGCCTCCGCAGATCTGCCGCCTTGTGGCTATTCTCAGTCAAGTAATGCACCATGTCTGGTTGGTTGGTACAAGCTGCGAGTGAGAGAGGCAGCTCACCTGTATAATGAGAAAGAGACAATATAATGAACAGTTTTTGTCAATTTGTCTAAATTGTAATTCTAAACAAAATCATTATAACAACATTTTCTTTACATACACTACCATTTAAAAGTTTAGGGTCAGAAAGATTTTTCTAAAGAAATGAATACTTTTATTCAGCAAAGATGCAATAAATTGATCAAAAGTGACAGACATTTATAATGCTACAAGAGATTGTATTTCAAATAAATGCTGTTGTTTTGAAGTTTCTATTCATCAAATAATCCTGAAAAAAAATGTATCTCCACAAAAATATTAAGCAGCAGAAACTGATACTAACAAGAAATGTTTCTTGATTTCTGAAGGATCATGTTAAATTAATTAAATTATTAAAATTATCATATGATACTGAAGACAGGAGTAATAGCTTCTAAAATTCAGCATTGCCATCACAGCAGGAAATTACATTTTAGAATATATAAAGATAGAAAACAGTTATTAATAAATTGTAATAATATTTCACAATATTACAGTTTTTACTCTTCTTTTAAAACCATTTAAAAAATCTTACCAATCCCTTAACTTTTGAAGTGTTTATAGCAGACACTTTTATTCAGTGCATCATTTTATCTGTAAGTGTTTTCCACTGTTCAACTGAAAAGATCAGTTTAGACCAGCATTATGGTTTATGCTGGTTTTGAGTTGGTTCAGCTGTTGACTGACCATCATAGTCTGATAAATCTGGTTCCAAACGGTAGTCTTGCTGATTAAGCTACTTAAAAAGCCTGACGAGCACCAGCATCCAAAACACAAAAATGCTCTAGGATCTCTGCCCAGCTATTAGACTCCAACCTCCAGATGTCCCCTTTATCTATTATTTTCCTTTACTAAACACCACGATGAAGAAATACAATTAGCCACTAAAAGTCAATCAGTCCTTTGCATGGCTCACATGACAAATATGCTTTGATCTAAATGTCACTATTTGTATTCAATTAGTGCTCGTCTCATGAGAACCATCTCAAACAGGAAAACCAAACAGAGAGACTTGAGAGTGAGCTGTTGCCAGGGGTGACAGATTATTTTCATGTCACTTCTTATAGAAACGCTTCCCTCTCATTGATTTGCACGCGCTCAGAGAGCGGTTAGCGTGACTGCTAAATCACATTAGCTGTCAGTGCTCACAGGTTCATGCTCGCGTCACCGGGAAGCTCCGCGGCGAATGACTCCCTTCGTGCTCAGATCAGGAGGGATTAAACACTGACAGCTGTGTCTAATACAAATTAAAATTATTTACAGGTGAATAAAAGAGAGATAGAGACTCCTGGCAGGGCACCAGAAAAGATAATCCTATTCTGTCATCCTTGGATTATTTTAAAATAGTTTTGCATCTTTCAATCAGTTCCATATAAGACGTCTTGTTTTGGGGTTTAAAATTCGTGAGATGTAAATAGGGAATTCAAATTCTCAGCTTGATTTCAAAATCACAGCTTTGTAACCACTAACGTCCTGGGAGGATAAACTAATTAGAATATTTGACATGACAAAAGAAATGTAGGGGCAGGACTTACACATATTATCCAAAGATGTCACTCACTTTAGAAGCAAAGCAAAGCTTACATTTTGATGAAAAATTACAAAAACAAACTTTTCTTTTCTTTGTAATTACATGCACTAATGAATCATGCACAATAGCATGTAGAAGCATGCATCAAAGGGATAGTCCACCCAAAAATTATTTACTCACCCTCATGTTGTTCCAAACCTGTATGCATTAAGATCAAACACTTTCGGCTCCCACTGACTTCCATTGTATTTTTTTGTCAATACAGTAGGAACCAAAAGTGTTTAGTTACCAACATTCTTCAGAATATTTTGTGTGTGTGTGTTCCACAGAAGAAAGAAATGTATACAGGTTTGGAACAACATGAGGGTGAGTAATTTTTGGGTGGACTATCCCTTTAAGAAAATCAATTTTCACACAGCTGTAATAACACACTCTGGTCAACAGGGGGTAGAATGTGTTCAGGCAGATGAGGAGGAAACTTTTCTGGTGTACATCATCAGGCCTCCAAATATAAGACCCTTTTACTGTATTTTCCGTTGCAAAAACAGAAGCTCCATTCAATCTCTTACATCCTTAGTACATCCAACACTTGTTTTATTTGTGACATAATGTCTTGTTGGTTTTCCTCTAAGCTCCAGAAACCTTTTTATTCATAGCTAATGAATGTAAACTGTGTAATGCTCCTTACATTTGCCAACTATAGGGAGGGTTTTAGGAAAAAAGGAAAGAAAATCACTTGATGTTACTATGGGAACCACTGGGCCAAATGTATTGTATAATGTATTGTGTATGCATTGGCAAAGTTATAAAGGCTGGACTGCTGCTTCTAACTCTCTCAAACAGAAGAAATACATGTCAAGACCTCCAGTAAATCACTCTGTTTTCAACATTGTTTTTGGGGGGAAAGGTCTATTATGCTCAACAAGGCTGCATTTGATCAAAAACAGTAAACAGCAATATTGTGGAATATTATTATAATTTAAAATAACGTTTCCATTTCAGTATATTTAAAAATGTAATTTATTCCTGTGATGGCAAAGCTGCATTTTCAGCTTCCATTACTCCAGATCATCAGTGTCACATGCTCCTTCAGAAATCATTCTAATAAGCTGATTTGGTTCTCAAGAAATATTTCTTATTATTTTCAATGTTACATTCTCTTTTTTTTTTTTACAATTATACGTGTCTCTAAATTTGTCACTTTTGATCAATTTAATGCTTACTAAATAAAAGTATATTACTCATTCAAATATTAATTTCTGTCAAAAAATATTGATAAAACAGGAAATGGAGCTTCCCACACATCACTTTGGGAGTTAAAGGCTCCAGCATGGTTGTAATGAGGTTAGCACTGTATCATTGGGCCAGATGTTTCACAACAGAGTTCAGAGTACATTAATAACTGTTTGGATCCTGAACTATATTCCTTATCACTCGCAACACAGACTGTTTAAACCTTTAGAACAAAACTAGCATCAACAAACCCACCGAAGTAGAAGTATCCACCCTCCTCTCTGGGCTGGAAAAATCGGCCCCTGGCCTGGGCATGAACATCAGCCCCCTTCTCCACCAGAAGCTCCACATACTGTTTGCATCGTCGTTCTATGGCGATATGCAGTGCCGTCTGACCTACGGACACACCACATTTTTATTATAATTGCAGATGCCGGTGAAGAATCAGTTAGAAGCAGTTCATCACATGATAATGAATTGAGCACAACATCCAAACCAAAGCGCTCTGTAATGTTACAAAAAAAAACTGTTATCTATGACACATCTTATCAGACAGAGCAGCGGGAACCAGCATGATATTATTAGATACAATCAACTTATTTTACACAAGAGGAAATATTGCAATATGAAAATAAGGCAATACGGCTCATGTTGTGCCCAGAGCCTGTAGTTTTGTATTGAGTGTTTGTGTGAGAGCTCTAAAGGACATTAAAAAAAACACTTTTTTCTCTCTGCTAAGGTCGTCTGCTACTTTCGTTTTTAGATATATTTTAGATTAACGAAAATACACTGAGTTCTGTTTGCTTTGGCTATTAACATTTATGTTTTGTAGTGACCCATGTGTCATCAGTTTGAACAGACCGCCACCCTGTGTCCATATTTACAAAATAATTACGTTTAGTATCTTAATGTGTGTATGAACAACGAATGTGTCACCAGCGCATGGTATTAACATTTGTGTGTGACTAGAGACTACATTTAACTTTATTTCTTTCTATTGTCCTTAGATTTAATACACTAATAAAGGATGCCTAAACCTAAAGTCTAAATTTAAGGAAGCATTTTATCACATACTTGGTTGAACTGAGAAGAACTGAATCATCTTAAATGACTTGATTTTAGTAGTTCAGTGCATTTGTATGCGTTTTGGCAGTGGGTCTACACAAGGAAATCTGCTGCCTGACAGAATTAGCCTATCTGACATATACACTTAACTGCCTGGAGGACTGGAACCAACACTAGTAAACAAACTGAACCAATGTGTGAGTGATTGTTTCCTGAGGAAATGAGAGGCAGACTAGACAAAGTCTGCTGCAAGTACGTTATGTATTTCGAGAACTCTAACTTCCCTTTATTAATAATGCTGCTATTACAAACCTGGCATGTACAACATGTCAAAGATTACAATGGAATAAAAATAAAAATTAGGTTTATATATGAGTCTACTGCCAGAACATATAAATAAAAATGAAATTACTGTATTATATTTATAATATGCTGCCATTCAAAAGCTTGGAGCCGGTAAGATTTTTTAATATTTCTGAAAGAAGTGTCTTAAGCTCACCAAGGCTACATTTATTTGATCAAAACTACAGTAAAAACAATAATATTGTGAAATAGTATTATAATTTAAAATAACTGTTTTCTATTTTAATATATTTAAAAATCTAATTTATTTCTGTGATGGCAAACCTGAATTTTCAGCAGACACTACTCCAGTCTTCAGTGCCGCATGATCCTTCAGAAATCATTTTAGTGCTCAAGAAACATTTCTTAAATTAAACAACTGTTTTCAACATTAATAGTAATAAGCAAAACTGTAAAATTGTGATACTGTTTTTTTCATTTATTTGAAATTGAAATCTTTTGTAGCATGTAAAAGTCTTTACTGTCACTTTTAATCAATGTCATGTGTACTTACTGAATAAAAGTATTAATTTCTTTAAAAAAAAAAAAAAATCTTACTTTTTTTTGGCAGTGGCAGTCCTGGCTTACTTGCTGTCTTAGGTAATGAAACACAACTCCAGAGAATAAACACTTATTAACAACTTAGTATTTTTTTTAAGTATACAAAAAGATAGAATGTACAATGTTATTTTAGAATTATATTATATTATATATTTTTTAAATCATGCAACAAAGAAAAATATTTCAGAGGGTAAGAGGTTATATACCAGCCAAAAAGCATTTTTAGCAGTACACGTGCTTGGTTTTCCTCATCTCATTCCCTCCTTTCATCATTTCCTGTACCTTTTCTGCTACTGTATCAACAAAAGTGGCAAAAAGCCCTAATATAAACCAAAATCACTGAAGCTATATGTCTCTCACCCTCGTGGAAGTTTCTTCCTGCGTTTTTTCTGGTTGTTGACCTCTCTACATGTGCCATAGTCGAACAGGGAGTCCATAGGTGCTTTCTTAGGCCCAGGTGCCACTGGATACTCAGACATGGTGGACTCAAGAAGGTCCATGGGGTTAGGAACTCCCTTTTTAAAGGCTCCTGGGAATCTTATCCGTGAGTTCTGCTTGTTATCATTCTGTTGTCCAGGTCGAGCTGAATCCTGGGGCGGCTGTGATCCATCATCATTGTCCAGAAGTTCTGCCAGTGAAGACAAGGGGAAGTTGGGATCCCCATCTGCTGAAAGGTCCTTACCCTCTGACGGGTCCTCAGCAGCAGTACCAGATGGTGAGGAGACTGAGTTTGATTCTGTCATGGCCAGACGATAGCGCTTTAATAGAGTGGAAGCGGAGAAGCCCTGCTAGAAAATCAAAAATGGATTGAGTGAACTTTAAACGCAAGATAAAACAATTATTCTGGAATATGCTCTACATCAGGACCTTCAAAAGTTGATCATTTAAATGGAAAGTAATTAAAACTGCACCTAGGCAACTATCTCAACCAATATGTCAGATTTTATTAGATGCTTGCTTAATGGATTTTGTCCAGGGCTTTGGAAACTATCTAAAATATACAGTTACTTAAAGTTACTTATTTCCTCAACTGTAGGCTAATTAGTAAGCTTGAACCTTGATTATTTGTTGTCTTGGTCTGAATATATAAATTATATTATACAGCAAGTATGACGCGAAATAGCATTGCTGCTTCCAGGAAGTATGCTATGTTGTTCAATTAAATGTTAGTTTCAAATGTTACTTGATAAATTTTACTTTTTTCAAGTATCAAAAAAGGCCAAACATAAGGAAATGGAATACAGTTTTACTTTGCCACTGATGCCTTCTGGCTTGCTGAGTTGGGGTCTTAAAGTCACTTAATTTTAAGAAATTTATCGATATGACTGCACTGACTGACACCATCGGATGAGAACAAAACTTGAACGGAATTAATGGCACTATCATCTTCTGTGGAGCTGCTTTACAGCTTCATGCAACATCGACACTGGTATTAAACTAAATTGAGTCAACACTGAACTGACTTGAACTGGATAAAGACATTGCTGAATTTTGTAGAACTGCTTAAAGCTGAACTGAACTCATAAAAGAGCTGATTTACAGTGGAACCTGACTAGTCTCCATAGTTGTTTCTATTATTGATTCTGCTATTTTTCTGTTTATCTCTGTAAAGCTGCTTCGACACAATCTGTATTGTATAAAGGCAAGCACTATATAAATCTTAATTTCTGGTTTCACCTTGAGAAAATCCATTTCAGCATGAATAGAACTAAACATCGAGAACTCTGCAGGAGAGATGCATTCCAGAAAAAAAGCATTCCTGGAATCAATCTGCACTGGACTTTGAAATGGAAGATACATACCAGAAATAAGGCTCCTGGAATGCTGGTACCCCTAGAAAATGACCCTGGCCTTCCTCTCTCTCTCTTTCTCCCAATAGTGACTAATTAGTTCAATTGGGTGTGTCTCTTTTGTTTCTGACAGGGATCTTTCCCAGGTAGGTTCATCTCTCCAGCAGAGTCAAGGCTATTTGCATGTGTCCTGACTTTCATTAACGGTTCTATATTACTTTGTTGCTTTTGCAAGTTAACCACTACACACCTCTGCTTTTCTCAGTGTAGCTTAATGGAATCATTTTAATAAAATATTCTATTATTTATTAATACATTTTGTGTATGACCCTCTTGAAATTGCAGTCAAGAACGAGCTGGATGTAACAGCAAAATACATCTTAAAGAACTTTTCATGACTCTGACTGCAAGCAGACCAATGGCTTTTTCTTCTTTCTTACGTAGTATGTACGTAAGAGTTGGCATCGCCAATAAGGACTCTTACCAAACATCTGCTGTAACTTTGGGATGTTAATCAAAAGCATTTCTGACCTTCTGAAAGCCTTAAACAATTTTGCAAGCACTTTTGCACTGCAATGACGTCTTGAGGAAAGTATGAAGTCAGGCTTGGACATAATTAAATAGAAATACATAGGCTACTTACTTCAGTCATTTCTTTGTATACTATGTGCACTTCCCCAATGCCAAGCTACTCCTCTGGGGAGCTGGAAAGTGTCAGGAGAATTGCAGGGACACAAACAGAGCTGGAGGGGAAAAACAATACCTGCGTTTACAGAAGACAACTGTCAAACTGGAACTCAACAAGAAACATGCTGTAAGATCCATGTCTGCTGACCCATCTTCCCACAATATTCCCAAGGTTTCTGAAACCATTCAGTCATTTACACCTGGTTCATATTTCCTGTTTATGTATAAATACTCAGCACATTGTGAAATCTTGTCAGCCCACATGCAGCTCTGAGAGTTGATTTGTATAATGCTGTGGCTTTGACTTTGTCCTAGTTCACTGTTTTCTGCCCCACCCTCTTGTAGTCTTAGGGTGCTTTCACACCTGAAGATCGATTGCTTTAGATTTCTTTTTTAATCTGTTACACGAGTTCTGAACTGACTTTGGGATTTTGACTGCCTGGTACTGTTGTTGTGAAACCTTGGATTGGGTTTGTTTTTAATTATGCATATGTATTTCAATCCTACTCCAGAATCTGAATCAACACACGTAATGTCATTCGACACCATATGATAAGTACCACTACTGAACTGACCAGACAGGTGAACAAATGTTAAATGTGTGAATGCAACACCAACAATTCAAAAAGAAAGAAATTAAGTGCATCATAATCATATAAAAAGATTCAAATTTATTAATACACAATTTTTTGCCCTAAATGGACACTTAGGCACAGACAAGATATAGTTTGGTGCCCATGCATGTAATGTTTTGAACCAAGGCACTTCGTCACAGCTAAAAAAAAATAAAACATCCCTCTATTCATCCCATATATCCCCTCCACACCCACCTACACACATCCCACTCCCGTCCCTTTGTCCACATGTCACAATCCATTGTGGGATTCATCTCAAGTCCTAAACTGATTCTCTCATTTCCCAGAAAAGGCATGACTCACACTCCCTCTGTCCTATGCTCTTCCCAGTCCAAGGGGAAATTCCTCAATTGCACCCAAGTTCAGTAACTGAGACAATGAATGATGATCACATCAAAGAACCACTATTGCTGATGTTGCATTTAATTCCAGTACTGCTTAAAACCCTTAATCCAAAAGTGAAAACTCTGTCGTATTGTTTCAAAACCCAGTTTCTTGCTTTTGTGCAATATAGAAGAAATTTTACAGAACATTCAAACTGCTCTTGCCCATACAACCACAGTAGACAGTGAAAAGGGGTGGACAAGCACCAAATATGACAAAAAAACACCAGGGTCAATCAATTTAAAGAGGTCCAATGGAGGTTGCTTGACCTTTTTTATTTAATTTCTAAATAACAAGAATGTTTAAAAGTGTTTCTGCTACTAATACAGAAAGGTAATCACTCAAAAAAGTGGAAAATTAAAAAATCAACCAAATGCAGAATATTTAGAGGTATGGACTAACTTTGTGATACTTTTTATATTTCTTTTTGAGTTAAAAAAAAAATTCCCTAGATACTACATACTGTTGTATGAAAACAGCAGTGTGAACATTATGAAAAACATCCACTTTTGTGTTCTACATAAAATGGAAAGTCATATGGTTTAAAATGACATGAGGTTTAGGCAATGAATGAAATTAACTCATAATTTGGCAACCTGGGAGAGTGTCATCTGTTTTTCGGATTCTCCAAGAGTTCATTGCCACAGTAACAATCACTGGTCCTGTTCAGACATGTCTGAGACACTCCACAACTCCTCTGAGAGAAAGTTTAAGAGTAATCTCCAACAAGTGTTTACTTATTTTAGAATTAATGCTGTCACATCCCAAATTCTAAAATTTTAGATTTTTGCCCAGATTTTGGCATTGATTTACAGACTGACTCTGGACGTGTTGACGTCAGCTGTCACAAGTCAGAGCCGGTCTGTAGGTTTTGAGCAGTTGGAGTTGGCAGATTTCAATGAAAATTGTGAAGTGTAATGAGCACAGACTCAGATTTTTTTTAGCTTCAGACTATGATTCCATTCAGTCGGAGGATATCAAACATGAGCCGCTTTTAGAACACATATTGTTTTCTTTTGTCATGCATCTCCTAGCAAGGCGCATGCTTCTCTGTGAGTTTGTTGTGTTCGGAATCAACCAACTTTACAATTTTTGGACCACTTGAGATGCACCTTGGCATATAGCTTATTTAGAAGTATGGACAATCTTTGTGTTCAGACTTTAAAGTCTGGGTGATCCTCAGTTATTTAGTGTGTGAGTTTCTCTCTGTAACCACAAAATAGGCAAGTATATGATGCTTATATTGTTTTAAAACAGGCATTTCAAAAGTCATGTATTGAATTTCAGCCTTAAGACTACACCATTGATATACTGAAGGAGGTTTTTATTACTCTTTTTTTTCCCCATGCAGTTCAGTATGAAAGTTTTCATCTGGTCCTCATGTTTGCTTAAGCGGATGGTGGAAAGTCAAACACAAGCCCCCACAGTAACTGTCCCTGGCCTGGCAAGCGCTATCCAAATACTGGCTACAGCATTACCTCTGCTCTGACCCGACTCCAATACAGTCCATATCACCACAGAGAGTGAAAAAGCAGAACAGTGAAAGTTTTGATAAGCAGTGATAACACGAAAGTGCGATGGCCTAAGTCTATCAGGGTTTTGAGAATTGGAGGGTGCGATGGTGGTGCATCAGACAACGTAACCGGGAGACCTAGTGAGAAATGTAACAGATGGAGAAAAAGGCCTGTCTACATAGAATAGCATTAGATAACAGCTGGAAATGACAGACTCTATCTCTATAGTCCCAGAGGAAGATCTACACTTCCTTTTCCATGTCACAAATTCTGCAAAGAGTCAAACAGCTGTGATCTTTGTATGTAATGTAACTCAAATAGCATTCAGTGCTGGTTATGCTGACAGTTCAACCTCAGTTCTGAGCTCATGAAATGACTGTAAAACCTTTGAGAGGCAAAAAAAACAATAAGCTCGGATCAACAGATCTGTGCATGTCAAACAGGTTCTATGTGGATACAGACAACACTGATTAAGAGATAATCAGGTATAGGCAAGAAGTTCTTCTGGACTGTTACTTTTTCAATTCTAACTGGTTCTACTAAACTCTTTTAAATTGTTCTAAACTGTTTCAAGAGTTTAGAATGAATTTCTGTTACTTTTTCAATTCTAAATGGTTACTCTGAAATTGTTCTAAACTGTTCAGATGAATTTCAATCTCTCAACATTCCCACAACACAGATAGAAAACTGCATCAAAAGTCATGGATCTCACCCGTGAACACGATACTGCTAGACGTTTCTTCTTAAACGTAGAATCAGTAGTTACTCCGTGTATGAGGTCAGGTTCGTCCATTTATTCTTCAGGTGGAATCCGTATAGCTCTTTAGGTAAACTTTAGAAACGGCTTCATCTTTCCACCTGGGTGTTTCAAACTGATAATGGGACAGAGCGACTGCAGAAGTAGACTTTTGATTTCCCACCGCCCACTGACTGACTGAATGAGCCCTTTAGAAAATGAGCGTTAGGGCTGTGGAAGTCTTCATTCAGACACGTAAACGAAAGACACTGGGATCAGTTTTACGTCTGAAGCGTAACCAAACAAAATATTCACTGTCTAACTTTTGTACTTGAGCCATTTTTACTTAGAAAGCCTTGTAGACAAACGAAATATTCACCGTCTAACTTCTAGAAGTTACTTCACAAACTATTCACTTTCTAACGGTAATGTTAGCAGAAAGTAAGCTTTTTTTCTTTTTTACTTTTAACGCCTTGAGAACATACACCATATTTTACTGTTATATTATAATATATTTTACATATTATAGTACTGTATTATACACTGTTTAATCTGTTTGTGTGTGCGTGGTTGTAAAAGTTTATTAAAAAATATATAATGTAAATGTAATGCTGTCATACAGTTCATGAAAATAAAATTAAAATAATTTCAATATACTGAAATGCAAAATGTTGGGAACAGCGCCCTCTGGTGTTCTCCCGAGGTAGCCGTTTAAGAGACTGAAACGCGCTTATCGTAATATTTGTTTTTAATATTAGTGACATTATAAAGATAACATGTCGTTTTAGAAATTAAATCATTTTTAAATACTATTACCAAAATAAATACTTTGCATTTTTTAAGTTACAATGTATATTTTTTCTTCCTGCTTCTTTGAATTCAATTCAGATTTATATGTAGCAATATACAAAGTAGTGTTAAATGTATTATATATGTTTTTAAACATTATATAATAAGTTTACACTTTAAATTAGATGACCTTAAAAACATTATGTAATATATTTCTCTTTTATAAAATCCCAGACCCCCTTGTGGCCCCCAAGACTTTTGTTTATTCATGACTTATTTGTTATGTACATGTATTCAAATCTGGATTTGAAGAACACAGTTATACAATGGCTTAATATGTGTTTACATATGGGGGAAAGTATTGTTATACTAGAAAAAAACAGAACAAAATATTAAGGTCTTTTTTGCGCCGCCAAATGGAAAGCACACAACAAAATGACTTACACAAGGTCATGATTTTAATGAGATTTTAAAGAGACTACACATAACTATGATCAATGTGAGACACATTAAGATAATAAATTACAGTGGAAAAGCAAAACAGCACCAGAAGGCATCCGTCACATGGTCATCATGATGTACTGCTTCAGTTTTGTCCGTCCTCTACGCCAGTGAGATTTTCACTCTTTAACAAAAACAATTCAAAGAAATCAGCTTTTATTGATAACAGACAAAGTCCACTGGTTAAAATAACATCTTCAGAATGCACTGTATGTTGTACTGTGAAATGTATTAGTGTTGTTGCAGTGGTGTAACCTGGGATAGAACTGAAATGTTGTTCAGTGTTTGCCTACTGACTAAGCAAAAGCAAAGTGAAATAAGTCTGTAATGTCATAAAATTAAGCACAAGGCAGCTGGAATAAAGAGCAAATAATTGAAATAAATTAACATTTATTTCTAAAAAGCAGTGTGAATGAATTTAACCTTTGATAATTTGGGAATGACAAATTAAAACCTACAAACCAACAATACTTATACATTATATGACATAAATAGAACATCAGACCAATTACGTCAATGAAGATTCAGTCATCCATATAATAAGAGTCTTAATATGTCTTGTAGAAGTAAATCTAAGAAAATATTACAGACGTTTTACTATTTACTGAATATGTTGTTTCGCAACTCAATAGAGTGGCTTCATTGTCACTTCTAAGGAAGTGGTTTCTTTATATTTTATGTCATATTCAAGCATTATTTTCTCATAAAATAGAATCCAAAGCAAACAGCAGTACAGTCAATGTCAGATATTTGGTTAGAGAGTCTGCAGACTTTTGTTTTTGGTATAATTTATATAAGTAAAATTAAAACCCTCATTTGCAGTCTATTGTTAAAGGAGCACATACAGAACCATTCCATACACATACTTAAAGTGCACATGTATTAAGAATCAAACAGAAAGGATTAGTAGTTAAAATTATAAAACACTCACAAACTGTCTTTTTTAAGAATACTACTCTTCTAAAGAAAAGCCAAGGCATTCAAACTGTCAGCACAAACAGAACAAACAATAACAGACATCCTCCCTTCTGAAACCGTCAGAGACTTCAGCAGCTTGGACCATAATTGTCCCCCTAGAGAAAATGCAACAGTATACTGCTGGAGATGCAGGATCCAGTAGGATAGAAGAACAGTCCAGTGAGGAGACTAAGGAGGTGTCTAATGGGAGGCGACAGTGATCCAGTGGGAGGACAGAAGATGAGGTCTGAAGTTTGCTTGTTTTGTGAATGAGAGATCACACAGTGTAGTCCAGCTCTGCATTCATTTTGGTGTACATTTCATAGATGGCGTCAATAGTAGCTGTGAAGTTTACTAGGAACTGCCGCACTTTGTCCAAGCATTCTTCCTCCTTGACCTCTCGCCCTCTTGAAAGAGCTTTGAGAAAATCTGATCTGTATGGTGCGGCATATAGTGCTGCCTAAAAAAGACAGGGCAACCTCAATAGGTTTTTCCAAGCATTTACAGTCATCACAACAGAAATGTCTACATTTCACTCATTTCACTTTCAGATGATGAAAAACTATTTTTAACTTGGATAAAAACAACTTTTGAATACATACATACATTTTTTTTAAGAAACTTACTTGAAAGAGCTTCTGGACAAACCAGCCATGATACTTCTTCAATGCCATCTCATAAGCTTTGGTGATGTTGACTCTGATGAGGTTAGGGTTGTTTTCATCTTTATCCCCATCCACTAGACTCTGGAGAAGAGCCTGGATAAAGCGTAGCCCCCTAACAGAAAAAAAAACCACAAGGTTTTATTTCAAGGCTTAGTTAACCTAAAAATAAAAATTCTCATTCACATTCAAGTAGTTTCACAGAATGTTCTGAGTGCTCGTTTTCACAGAATGAAACTGAATGATTTGGAGAAATTGAGCACTACATGACTTGCTCACCAATGGATCCTCTGCAGTGAATGGGTGCCATCAGAATTAAGAGTCCAAACAACTGATAAAAACATAATAATAAAAAAACATAACAACGACTCCAGTCCATCATTTAATGTCTTGCAAAGTGAAGAGATTGTTTGTAAGAAAAAAATCCATCATTAAAGGTGCAGTAGGAGATCTTGGAAAATGCTAACTTTAGCCTGATAGCACTGAAAGCGAATGTCCCACCCTCCCTGCAATCGCCGTCCAAAGCCACGCCCCCTGAACGCATATACGCTCACTCACAGACCAGAATACCAGAGACAACATTACTACAATAGGCTACATCAGCGGTTCCCAATTCCAGCCCATGTTCCGAAGTTAAATAAACTCCAACGGATTTCCCCTGCTCAGGGAGTAGGGAGCAATGAACACTGTGTAGGGAGCATGTCAATCGGAGCTCTCGTAGCTCTCTTCTAACGAGCTGGTTATCTGAATCGAAGCGAGACAAGCAAAATACATGCGCGAGGACTGGAATTGGGAACCGCTGGGCTGCCTACATCATGTGTCATTCACCGGTGAGAAAACTTTAAAAGTACTACAATACCAGGAAGGAAGATCGGGTTGTTGATGTTTGTCTGCCATCCTCGCTCTGTCTGCACAGCGTGCGTGAACGCGCTGATGACGTATCCTGTCTGCACGAACCGGGTGCACAGAGGTATGCAGATACATACGTTGACAGGCAGGTAGGAAAGTCAATTAAAACGCTCGGACCGAGCGTTTTGATTGGACGAACATTTCATGGTCCTATGCCTTCCACAGAATATATAAATACATTTAGACCACTTAACTTAATGATTGCTATCGGGATGTGAAGAGACTTTCAACCAGCATGACAAAAAATGTTTCTGAAGACAATCACCTATTGCACCTTTAAGCAAACAGTTGCTTCTGGCCAAAATAGTCGCTTATTGGAATCCATAATCCATGATAACACTTCCTTCCTCCAGTGACAAAGTCCATCCCCTGTTGTCCGCTCACATGAAAATCCACCAACATACCTGTTCTGCTTCTGTTTTGATGATTTTTTCACTTGAGAAAGCAATATTATGGATAGAGGACTTGTATTTTAGCCAGAAGCAACGGTTTGAAGTTAAAGTCTTAAAGATGGATTTGTTTACTAGAAACACGCAGCTTTTCAATTTAATTTTGACGTTAATTGATGGACTGGAGTCGTGTGGATTACTTGTGGATTATTGTGATGTTTTCATCAGCTGTTTGGACTCTCATTCTGACGGCACCCATTCACTGCAGAGGATCCATTGGTGAGCAAGTGATGTAATGCTACATTTCTCAAAATCTGTTCCGATAAAGAAACAAACTCATCTACATCTTGGATGGCCTGAGGGTAAGTACATTTCCAGCAAAATTTCATTTTTACTTGAACTATTTATTTAATAAAGACAGAAACAGGAAGTATCAAAGTCCATGTTTACGTTATGCAACTTTTAAATTTAAAATCAACTGTTTTTCACTTTCACTTCTACAAAATAAAAAAACTTTTCAGGCCCAGCCTTGCCTTTTCAGCCACATGAGGGCAAGTGTTGCTCCTACTTTTGGCCACTCGGTTCCATGCATCTCCTTCTCTGCTTCCAAAATGTGCTGCAGGGTTTTAAACCTGGTAGGGTTGCTGTCATACACAGCCTTGATTTTCTGTGAGAAAAAGCAGAGAGGTGGGTGGAGTAATGATTGTAAAAGTTATATTGTTCGATGCTTATCAACCGTGTATATCACGTGGTGAACTTACAGTGATGTTACCCACAATATCAGCTTTGATGGGGGAAAAAACAGCAGAGCCAAGGCAATCTAAGAGGAGATAAAGAGAACAGATGAGTAATACTTGAGTACATGCAAATATTTTAATAACACTTAAGCAATTTGCATGTATTTGAAATGTTGCCTGAAAAGGTTGCCTGGCAACCTACTAAACACATGAAAAGTAGATTGTTATGCACATGTGAGAAT